TGAAAGTTTTCAACTTCTGCAAGTTTGTGCAAAGTATTCAATGTCCACTTGAGTTGCGCAGAAAATATACTGCTATGACAAGTAAACGGCAGGGCTCTTGAACGATCCAGTGAGCGTGCCATTTCCAAGGTTAGTACTCGTGATGGCACAGACTTTGTGCAGCGGCCATGAACATTTCCTTTGCTTCATCCTTATTCCTAAAAAAACGCTCAAATGAAAAAACAACATTTTTTTAAAAGGCCTCATGTGACACGTATACTTTTTTCTCATTTTTCCGCCGAATTTCTTTTTCCGCACGTTATTAAGTTGTTGGACGCAGTTTAGGTGGAGGTCACGGCCCGCTCTAACAGATCAGTGACCCTTCCCATTACTACTGGACTGTCTTGGCTGCTTGGCCAAACACACTCGCAAGCCTAGTGTTTCCCTGCCACCATGTCCGGTGCTTCTAGTCTGGCGCCTCACCCCGCCTGCTAGTCTAGACTTTAGATAGCGGTAAATCATAACTTGGTCCACCGGGAATCAAACTCATCCAACACAGCACATGGCCGCCGATGGTCTGAGCACTAGCACGCTCATCTAAATTTCGGAATTCGAGACATCACGATCCTCCATCCATTGTGTCACGTCGTTGCAGCTGCACGCTCCGTGTTAATCAGCACACTACCATAATATCCCGAGTCATCGCCCATCCTTGAGTCATCGCCCACCTCACTTTTTGGGCCATATTGATTTCAAAAAAAAAAAACACCAAGTCATCACCCACCCCTTCAAATACCCCAACGCTGACTCCGTGATCCGCGAACATTCATCCTACCCGAATGGCGCGGCCACGGATCTTACAGTGGGAGGACATCCGTGACAAAGTAAATTGAAGGAAAGGAAGACACTTCTTTTTTTTTTACGCATTTCCTTCGCGAGCAATCTCAAAATCAGTGTATCCGTGCGAAAAAAGAACGATGGAGACTACAGAATGAAAGTTTGTTTTGCTTACAAAAAAATCGTACCGACAAAAGAAAAAAATAAAGTTGGAAAGATAACACAAGCAGTAAACCATTCAGGGATCACGAGGTAAGTGAACGCTCCATATCTTGGAATGTAACCGCGTAACGTCAAAGTTTCTCTGTCGAAGTAAGCTTGCTGTGAACCTGATTCTTCTCCCGGCATGTTGCGACAGCGGTTTGCAATGTTTAAGAAAAAATCAACGGGTAAATAAAGCTTTGCGGGAACAACGCACACAGACGTTTGTAGAGCGTCCCATTTCGAGCTCCGTGTTTGTGGTGCCATCCATGCCATGCAGCAACGCCGCCTTAACCCGCATTGATAGCACGCCATGCACAAACGCACGCATGTATACACCAAACAAGAAAGTTGTGCAAGAGCTTGCAATTGACAAAGCGCCCGACTTGGCTCAATGCCAAAGTATTTACCAACGCGATCGCCTGCTTTTTCGCTCTCCCAGCATCGCTCTTCGTTGCTTCTTTGGTCCACTCGCTCATGGCTCCAGGTTGGTTTTCCTATTTTCTTGTGGACTTTTTTTTCACTAACCAGGAGAACATGGCGGTGTAACGTGCTTTCACGAAACAAATGTTCACGCTGTATGTCGATCGGCGGCGGTGTCGATGGCGCTTATGCAAGCAACAGACTTCGCGGTAGTAAAACATTCTTTCGTGAGCATTTTTTTTGCATAAAACAATAAAACTAATTCGAGTTTTGAGTTAAATGTATCTCTTCTGCAGTCGCGCTAGATACGCACAAAAAAAATGGGCGCTTCTTTCCGATTTGTTTTTACTTTTTATGCTCACCCATTGAGACATGACCCACCCCACTTTTTTTTTTTATGAATGGCAGGGGGTGGGCGATGACTCGGGATATTACAGTGGGTGCTGCAGACTGGTACGTCCCCCCTTAACGAGAAGTTTTCCCTGGCTTCCGCTTCTATGGTGGATGTGTGTAGCGCCTCGCATTCTTAGTACTCTCGGATTTTTAGAAGCCCCTCGCGGCAAATGACCTAAGTGAATCGCTAGGGGAGGAGTTCTATCGTGCCCTTCACTTTATCGATCGATTTTCATCCGAAGTTCCGGCGTCTTACACCCGCTGCGCCATCCCTCGGTAAGTTAGGATTCACCCCGTGATGTCGTAAGTTCACGCGGGAAGCTACACCTTGTCGGGAACCAGCTTGTGTCAACAGTCACCTGCAGATTAAGTGTGCCGGATGAAGTATTGCTCGCCGCCGACAGTGGCAAGCAGGCTATTTTCCGTTTCACTTTAAAGGGGTACGGAAACAAAAATTGAAATATTCAAAGTTTGTTCGGAAATGAGTCAAGCATGATGCTCTCCGTTCGCTTCTCTCCGAGCGCTTGCTCGAGTGTACCGTTTGGAACGAAAAATGTAGCCAATCGTTCAAAATACAAACGTGCGATTATCATTTACGGTTATTATCCGTCATGCTTGACTCATTTCCGAACGAAATCTGAATATTTAAATTTTTGTCTCCGTACCCCTTTAAGCCCCATTGCAGCCGATGCCAAGATTCGACGGAGCCAATAAAGCGGTGCCAAAAGTGCGTCGCCACAGCGCTAATCGTCTTTGTAAGATTGCCATCACCGATGTGGAAAATCCTACACACACTCGCCGACGAGCTAGCTCTCACGTGGTCCGCCGCCAAGCAGAGCGGACCGGGCCTGTTTGTTGACTACGCATTCAAAACGTATAAGAAATGGATAAATGTGCGAAACAACCGAGGAGCGAAGTTCCGCACCTGTTTATCGAACATTCACAAAACTCGAGGCCAGCTATGTCAGTCGATAAGCAGTGGGAAGCGCATGCAAGGTGAGTAACCTGGAAGCTTTCGGAAGCCGACGACACAAGTCAGATTCAGAACAGACAAGCCGTTAGCAGACAAGACAAGCTGGGACGAGATAACCAGATGAGACAAACCATGAAAAAAGACCATATGGCCGATGTTAAAATCGGGCAGTGGATCAACATCAAAATTCTCATGAAATTGAAGAAATCTGCGAGCGAGTGTTTGAAATTGTTGCAGGAGGTATATAGTGGTAATGTGATGTCACGTACTTGAGTGGTACAAACTATTTCCCACGGGACGAGAAAACGTTGCTGACGACAAACGACCGGGTCGCCGTGTTGCGACAACAACCAAACAGAACATTGTGAAAATTAGTGAAATTGTTTACAACAATCGTCGGTTAAGCATTCAGATGACAGCAAACAATGGTGCACATTGATAAAGAAAGTGTATGACAAATTTTACATGAGAAATTTAACATGCACAAAGTCTGCACCAAAATGGTGCCAAAAAACCTCGGTCAGGTGCAAAAGGACGCGCAGATTCAGATTTGCACTGACTTCATAAAATGACACGCAGCGGAACCTGACTTACTGGAAAGTATCATCACGTGTGACGAGACGTGGATTTGTCAGTACGATTCAGAAACCAAAAGGCAATCGATGCACTGGAAATCTTTTACGTCGCCAAAAATGAAAAAGACAAGAATGAGCAAGTCGAAAGTGAAGGCAATGCTGATTCTTTTCTTTGATAAGTTTGAATGGGTACCACAGGGTCAGACAGTTAATCGGCAGCATTACCTTGAAGTTCTATCCAAGCTGACGGAGCGAGTGATGAAGAAGAGGCCCATGTTGCAGTAGAACAATGCGTGGATTCTGCACCACGACAATGCTCCAGCTCACAATGCTTTGTCCGTAAAGCAGTTTCTAGTGAATAAGAATATCGCGATGCTGGACTACCCACCTTACTCGTCCGATTTAGATCCGTGTGACTTTCACTTGTTTCCCAAGGTAAAATCCGCACTAAAAGGAACCCATTTTCAGACTGTGGACGATGTAAAGGAAGAAACGGCAGTGTTGCTGAGAAGCTTGACACATGATGACCTGCAGCACTGTTTCCAACCATGGAAACTTTGTGTGCGACGGTGCATAGATAGGGGAGGGGAGTATGTTGAAGGGGATGAGTATTAAGGGCTTAATAATAAATGACACTTTTGCCACCAGTCCCTTTATTTAATAGCCACATCTCATATATGCCACTAAAATTACTGCCCTGCACAAGCGGTTAAAACGCGTAATACAGTAAAAGTATGCAGACGATAACAGGTTTTTTTGTTTTTTATTGCTCTGAATTTATCGAGCGATAAGAGTTTTCTGGCTTTCCCCCATTTTCAAAGTTTTCGAGCATGCTGATATGATATTTTGAATGCTAGATCAAACTTACCTTTGCACCAATACATGAGCAAAGTGTTATAATACAAATGTCATTTATTGCAAATTGCACTCATTACTTGGCTCTCACTTTATTTTGATTGACTAGATGCACAGGTAGGTGCTTATCCGGTGTTAGTACATAGTTTCCGACGTCTCTCGATTTACAAGATACCCTTCATACCCTTCATTGCTTTGGTATATAACCCCACTGCAAATTGCCAATGCCGCGTTTGCGCTAGCAGTGTCGACAGTGTATATAAATGCATGTATAAAGCTATTTTTGCTACGTGTTTAAAGCCATTATTTGACAGAAAAAAAATCTCTGGTCAATGTTTTTATCAATACAACTGAGAAATGTTCCAAGCTATTACAAAAGAATGCTCGGTAATAGCATTTGCTTTAATAATCGAGCGAAGACAGAAAATGCGCTCACCTTTTGCCACAGATATGGATTACTGGAATTCAATTTTGGACTGGTTGCCGTCTGCTTCAATTTGAAACCGCACACCAGCACCAGCTGAACCTCCAACAACGTACATCGTAATAACTCTGGCGCAGACGCACCGCACTCCGCCCGGGAAAACTCAAGCATAATCTCGGGCCCACGCTCAAACCGGGCATCATCAAGAACAGGGAGCGTTTGGCAAGATACAGAAGGGGGAGGAGCTTACTACGGCCACGCCCCGAACGACCGCACCTAAGAAGGTGCGCCTCGAAGGACGAGTCGCGAGGTGCAGAGCGAGGAGGCTTCTGGGACTCACCACGTACTTGCGCCGCCTGTCGAGCTCGTCCCGGAGGGCAGCCTCGCAGGCCCCGATCTCGGCCTCGACGGTCTTGAGGAGGGCGAGCAGGTCGTGGGGCGCAAAGGGGTGCTCCTCCCCCAGCCGCACCACCACCAGGCGGTCCAGGTCCCCGCCGGCGGCCCCCACCGGCTGGGACGCCCCGCCGGGGGGAGAGGCCCGCACAGGCGAGTTGAAGGCGCTGCCGGCCTCCGAGGCCGTGTCCGTGGAGGACGAGCTGGCCGCGGGGGAGTGTGCCTCCATCAGGGGGCTCTTGGCATAGTTGTGGCCATCCAGGGCCGGTTGCTCGCGCACCTGCACGAGGGTCTCTATCTGAACATCCTTAGTAGGCTCGCGCGCCCGCGTGAACCCGGTTCGGGGCAGGACTGCGAGCACCGACGGCTAGAGAAACATGGGGCATGGCTCGTTACGCTCGCGCACTTGCAGAAGAGGACAGCAGTCTCGGCGGACAAGGGTGGGACTATGGGCACCCATGACTTAAATGGACCTCCAGGAAGGAATTGGGGGTCTCGATACTGAAGGACGATGGGGAGACCTTTAGCCCCAAGAAGATGGAGTGACACCACCCGACGGCTCCTCATACAAGGATCACGCGACCGCTTCTGAACTTTGTTGGTACCACATAGACTGAGGTGCGTCGTTCGCAATTCCCCTTTAATTCGCTCATTTGAAAAAGAGTTTAGGGTTGCTTTTGACCTAATTTTTTCGTCATACTTCTCGTCAAAATTAAACTCAAACGGCGTGACAACGGTCCCGTCGCGGCCTACAGAACGTGACCCAACTGACCCAGCTTTATGTTAACGTACTGAACACGACCGAGTCGGTCGTCGTCGTGGCTTCGAAGGCTCCTCGAGTGACCAAACGGGTCCATTCCGGGGCGGCGTGGCTCCTGGGGTGAGTTTTCCTTTTTTTTCAGCCTGTCGGAAACGGACGGAGCAAACAGAGATCAATCGCAAGGATGGCCGAGCAGGCGTTGAACTTGGCTTTCCGATCGCCTTTTTTTTTTGCAGTTTGCTCGCTCGGCTTTGAAGCTGTTGTGGCCCATGAAAGCTGATTGAGTATTGAAATGTCACACACGCACGGCATCACCGTGAAAGTACCTACAGCAGTAACTTTTAGGGCTCAAAACTGGCGCAGTGATGGAAGCAGCATTTGACCCTTTGGAGCAGGTTTTGTAGCAGGCAAAATATTCGTTTGGAGCAGTCACTGATGCTTTTGGAGGAGATGCCAACATCTGTTAACATATCACACAAAAACTTAAAAAAAAAAAAAAATTTATTGCATTACTAAATGAGTTTATATTTGATAATGACTGAGGGTTTTTCTTTGATACTGGAGTATATTACTTATTACCTTTTGTAATAAAAACCAATAGGGCACAAAAGGTACTATCGGGGAAAAATGCAATGCGAACAGAGGAGCGCGTGGCTCATGGTACAGGCTGCGCCGCCTGCAAGTGAACCTAGGGGCGAGGGTGCGTGGCCTACTTCAATGTGTTCACGCACCTCGATTGACGCCCCCCCAGCTTCGGCAGTGCGCCTCTTAGTGCGCTGAAAGCTGTCACCGCTATCTTTGCCTGCTCGGCGAGTGCGGCAAGCTTCTTTGCACCGCACGCGCTGAGCCAGCAAACACAGCGGTGACAACTTTCAGCGCACTAAGAGGAGCACTGCTGAAGCTTGGGAAGCGCAGAGGGAGGGGCGTAAACACGTCAGAGTAGGCCACGCACCCTCGCTCCTAGGCTCACTTCCAGGTGGCGCAGCCTGTACAGCGAGCCACGCGCTCCTCTGTTCGCATTTCATTTTTTCCCGATAGTACATAGAGCTTTTGTTTTAAAAATAAAGCTCTGTTGAGAGTAGGTCCTATTTACCATGGGTACTAATCAAATTAATGAGAAATGAATTACACTTCAGTTAGGTTAAAGCCTCCCTCCCCTCCCACTTCTACACTCGGTAGTTTATTTAGCCTGTATGTATTATCTCTGTAAAATGCCACCAAAACCAACATAATCGCTAACATGTCTATCAGTGAAAATGCACCTCCCAAATTTGATCGTTACCAGACTCAAGACTTAAATATTATAAACTGGAAAAGAAAAAAAAAAAAACACCCACCCACAAATGTTATGAAAACCTATTCTCGCCCTTACATTTATTCAAATAAAGCACCACATTTTTTTTTCTTTCTCGACGCAGCATTTGAAAACAAGATCATATAATTGAGATCAAAGGATGTGGACTTGCAATAGTACTGAGCATAATTTACACGTATATCGTGCAAAACCAGACGCTCACCCATGCCAGCAGCAGCTACTCCAAACACTCCACTGCAAGGCGGTGAAGGTTGACGCGTGTGTGCTGGTGAGAGGCGCCATGGAGGCAGACATAATAATCAACTGATCCCACCAGGAGTACAGGAGCCTGGTTCTGTCTTATTGCAGTAGCTGCTATCCTACTGTGTATTTTGCAATGTTTTGTCGCGACTTTTGGCTCCTGACATCGCCGACATAGTCTGAAATTTTAGAGGATGTCGGTGATCAAGTTGTTAGCGCATCAACCGGCCAATGCGGTGGTCGAGCAATCTTAAAACTTTGTTTCACCTCAATTTAAAGCACAGCCGACGCTACGAGCCAATGGGATTAACCAAACAAGGTCAAATCGCGACATCGAGGCATCCAACCATCTTACTGTATGTGTTCTTTCATTGATTAAACCAATCAAATGCAGCAAATGTCCCGTGACCTGCGCTTTTACTGTGTGTTCATATTGTACATGTTCGAGCCTCCGACTGTGCTCCGACCTTAAAAGAAAACACTGTATACGGTGAGTAGAGACGCTGTGAAATACATATTTCTACCGTTTTTCTTTCTTTCTACTTCTTTGAATATTAAAATCAACCAATAAAAAATATATAAATTTTTTTTACCCATCTTGGCGCAGGTGTGGTGCAATTCTTGGCCAAAATGGCACCTTGGCGCAAGATGTAGCAGACTTTCGCTCAAGGCGCAATTTGGCACGAATGGCGCAGCACTTCCATCACTGCTGACGTGCCGTTTGGCGAAAGAAGCATTGGTTCGCTATTGCGTAACTAGCGTAGCTACTGAGACATGTTCTCGCTCGATCAGTGTTTTGGTGTTTGTACCGCAGTCGCCTCGAAATAAAAGAGACATGCACGAAAAATAAGGTGTATGCACCACATGATGCTAGGGTAATCCTTGCCGTGTTTATTTCAGCTGCACGTCAAAGAAAGCAGCATTCGAAAGAGAACAACAAAAAACAACACATTCTCCAAAATTCATTCTCTCTATAATGTGGTCCCCTGCATGTGGATTAATCACTCTTTTTTTCCCAAAGTATTTCTGCCTCTCTCTTTTATATATATATATATATATATATATATATATATATATATATATATATATATATATATATTTTTTTTTTTTTTTTTAAGATTTATGTAATAACTGGACTTAGCATGTTTCTCTAAATTAACTAATTTATTTTGATAAGTCTTAAGAGCCTTTAGGTCAACGTCTTTTTTATATATATTTTTTTTTAAGGGATGCTGAAACAAAATGTTTTTTGTCCCTATATTATTAGGAAGCTCCTTAGACATCCGACGCTTAGATATCTTTTTACATTGTTTGACTGTATTGACTTGGAAATCCTGGTCATAAATATTTTGAGATATCTCTAGAAATTAGACATGAGGAAGATACATAGAAAGGGGGGACGGACAACGAAGTCTTCGTTGTCCGTCCCCCCTTTCTATGTATCTTCCTCATGTCTAATTACCGTTACCAACACGCTCGTTTTGTACTTAATCTCTAGAAATGTTTACACGCGAGGTTGGTGTCTCTGCGAACAAACCGGGTTCCAGACCACTGCGCCTAAAGACATTTCAAAGCTTTCTAGCGTAGTGTCTGTTACATAGGTAGTACTCGTCGCTGGGCATTTCTTAGGTTTCTGAGGTTTATTTATCAACATAAATACTGATAAATGATCACTGACGTCGGTGCTGATAGTGTTTGCAATGATTGAGGATCGATTGTAGTTGCTAACAAAAAATCGGTCAAAGTAGAAGTTGTGCATGTGATCCTTTTCAGTCATGTTCTTAATCTTTATTAATGATAATTCAGTACATATTTTTTTCTGTACAAGGTTGTTCCCTGATGACTGCATTGTGTATAGAAAAATTAAGAGTGAAATAAATGATGAAAAACAGCACGAAAAACACAAGGACACAAAGGAGAGAATTACACAAAGGACAACACCTTGTCTTGTGTGTAATTCTCTCCCCTGTGTCCTTGTATTTTTCACACTATTTTTCATCATGAACGTATGCCAACTAGCCCAACTGCCCATTGTAGTGAAAGTGATGTCACTGAGTTACAAGAGGACTTAGACCATATGCACACCTAGTGTTCTGAGTGGAAAATAGATTTGAATCCCAAAAAATGTGTACAACTATGTTTTACAAAGAAAAAAAAAACTAAAAACTTGTAAATCACTATTATTTAATACGAATCAAGTAAGCAACCAACCTGCACACAGGTATCTAGGCGTTATTTTATTCACTGATTGTTCATGATATGCTAATGTGGATGATCTGATTGCTAAAGCTGGTAGGGCACTGAACTTCATTCAGAGAAATCTAAAGAGCTCAGAAACTGCATTAAAACATACTGGCTATCTAGCATGGGTCAGGCCGATTTTAGAATATGCTTGTGCCGTTTGGGACCCTGTACAAAACACCGATTGATTAACTGGAAAAAAATAGACTAGAGCTGCTCGGTTTGTCTTAGGACAGTACGGGCGGAAGGACAGTGTCACTAAAATGAAAAATGAATTAAATTACGTATCACTGTCCTCACGACAAACAAATTGTGACTAAAGTTCTTTTCAACATTTAGTAACAAAACAGGAATCAGTGTCGCAACTAATCTGAGAGAACCATATTATTATAGCGCAATTGAATGCAAAGGTGCAAGCGAGCTCGACAAGAATGACGAGAATAATCTCTGGAGAAGGGGAACAAGAGGGACAAAGGCCAAACACAAATCTCCAAACGCGGCTAGGTGACTGGTGCATGACCGAACGATTGAATGATGACGTGTTTGTGTGTCCTTTGTCCCCCTTGTTCCCCTTCATCAACCACATTATGTATCTCATCGGAAGGACCACGTCTCTAAAGTCAGAGAATGCCACGTCAGGACGAACATTTATACAAATTCATTTTTTGTTAAAACCATTGTACAGTGGAACAGGCTGTCTGAAGAGCAACTCTGCCAGTGAAGACTGTGTTTTTGCAAAACTGTAACCCCCCTGCTTTGGGCAATGCGGGGTAATCTTTGAATAAAGAAAAAGAAATGTTGCAATAAGTTCAAAACCTTTGAAATCGATTACTGCTCCTGGAATCCTTGGATCGGGCGGCCTTCACCAAGGATTGTAGTTTCGACTATGTATTTTCTTTTGCTGCTTGAAGTTGGGAAGAGTGTAAACAGCAAGTAGAAGAATGCTTGTTGGTCTCCACGGCAAGGTATCCGAGCAATGGTGGTGGCCATGAAGCTACCGCAGGATTCCATCGCAACCTACACAAAACTGTTTCGCTTGGCGTATTTGAATTTGTTCTTAGGTATCGTTGTATGCATGTTTTGCGCCATAGCAAAAACAAACTTCATATATACAGTAGTGCAAGAGGACAGAAACATGAAAGGGACAGGACAAGCGCTACTCACAACCGGTACTTTATAGAGGAAGACGACAAGGGACCGTGGAATGTGACAAATGAAAATTGCAGAAAAAGAAGCTTGATTGATGGACGAAGAGCATGTTGGTGCGGGCCAAGATTAAAGAAAGAACAAAGGTGCACAAATCACCGACTCTAGGAACATAACACCGAAGTTTCCAAAACTTCATCGGATTCCTACTATCCCATAGTAATGCAAGCCAGTTCCTGCAACAACTGCAAGCCTCATTTTAAACAGACAAGAATCCTAGGGGGCATACCAGCAGATATGGCCGGGAGATTATAGAGTCATTCGCCATGAACAGCGCAAACAATGTTTCTAATCCCTCACTGTTGCCGACAAAAACTGCAGCTAAATTTCTGAAATTGGAGACGACTCTGTCAACCTGGCTTTGCATTTTATCTTATCGCTTCTTCCCTCCTTCCTCTCTTAGTTACTTTCACTTTCCTCAATTTTCCCACCTTTAATCAGTTGCTCGTTATTGGAATTCTTATATGTCCGTTGCTAGTTGAAAGATGTGGTTGTGTTGTCTTCGTCCTACATGTTTATTCTGTCTTTAATCTTGAAAAAATGTAATGTTGCAGATAGACGTGTAACACTAAATTAAATCATAAAGATATTTTTAAAAAATTTAAAATAATCAAAAACAAAAACTTTGATAAAAGAGGAAAGATAAAGATGAGTAAAGATTAAGGAAAAATTAAAAACCTTTAAGAGGACAGAAATAATTGCGAAAAGAGTTAGAGGAGTATCAGCTCCTTACCAGTCAGTACACCAATGGCATACTGATGCACTTGTCACACACTTTAGAACTTTGGTTTCAGAGCACAAAAGCACGCATTTGCAGTCTCCAACATGTAAAGCCAGGAGTCCCAATGGTGATGACCTGGAGTTCGCGCTCTCAAAATCCTACGTTTACGCGGCGGCCAGATTGTCCTACGTACACCTTCTTGCAGGAAAACGGGATATCATGTATGACCCTTAAGCAGCAGTTTACATACTTATTGGTACGTTAAACCTCGCACTGGCCTTCCTGTCCATTCGGCGAGTTTATCTGGGGCAATTTTTTTAGTTCCTTCGGTGCTGATAATGCAACCGGTGCTTTATACCTGGAGGCTACATTTTTTCAAGTTGTGGAAGACTCTATGGATGTAAGGTAGAATCACAGGCCGACATTTCCAGTCAATCTTTCTTTGCTTAGTTTCATTTTGTGTTTGTGTGCGTTCAACCGTATAAAAAACTAACGATTTTGGATACCCAGATTCTTGTAGCCTTTGCACTTGTGCACCAAAACTGGTCTTTGTCGCGTGCTGACACGACTTCAACAAGGCCGCTTTTAAGCAACTTCACATTATTCCACGTCGAGTCGTACGGAAGAAGGCATTTTTCGGAGCATGGCGAGTACAGTCCAACATGGGTGACCGTCTTGGAAGGATAGCTGGAGGTCCAGAAATTGAAGCACGCTGTTAGTTGGCAATTCAGAAACAAACATTAGCTTGTGCCACAAATGTTGTACGTGGGTTGTTAAGGGGGGACACTACCCAGAAAAACAAAATTCTGCAAAAAACACTGATTTTGAAAAATTACATATTTACATCCACCAACATCCAGAGAGTATTCCCAAAAATTTTCACTAGTTTAGACTGCATAGTTAATTTTTTATAAATTAATTTCTGTCCACCGAAGCTAAAGAAATGGTAGGGTTTGGAGCACTTTGAACGCGTTTTTCTCCGTTCCACTTTTTGGTATAAATTCCATTTTAGTCAACCTATCGTTTGATAATGGCAATAGAGGGAAGGCTCATTCTTCACTTTTCCTGACTGAAATTTAATAAGGAATGCGGCTATGGAATGTTTTTGTCACTTTACAGATGTCTTTTATAAAAATTGTTGACATTTTGTCGAAGATACAGAAGACCAAAAAGTTGACCAATTTTGCAGAAGAGAAAATTGATAGAATTAAATGACTTTTTACAAAAACCTTTTTATAGCCACACCTCCTAGCCATTCTGCTACACATCTAGCGAATAAAAATCTTGAATATTGTGATAGTTTTCGAACGATAGGTTAACTAAACAAGGTAGGCGTGTTGCTGATAGAAGCTGCCCTAAATTCCTTCCCACTTAACCGACAGACCTGAAATTTTGTTATGCACCCTCTGGTATGACCACCAGCCTACCCTATAAATCTCATTAATTTTAAGCCAAGGGTTCAAAAGTTGACCCTCCCAGGGTTCAAAAGTTGACCCTCCCAGGGGGTGTCTCCCCTTAACCGCAGCCACGCCTCTCAGTTCAGGTTGTTTGAAAAGCAGAACGATATGGTCGTCTACATATCTGAACGTACCTGAGGACACACATTGGGTTAAGAATATATCGCGTAAAACAGGAGCCACGCAGGAGCCTATACATATTCTCTCCCTTTTTATAGGCATTGTTATTGAATGTGGTTACTGTAGATGAAAGGTAGAATCTCGGGAGTTTCAAGAATGACTGTACCGTTATGCCGCATTGATTTGGAAAAGAAATTATTTATTCCATAGGATGTTGCTATCCTGGCAGTTGGGGCTAGCAGTTGCATCAAAAAGTATGAGCGAAGGTGAGCGTCACTGTCGTCGCAGGGCCGCAACTCCCGCCTGCCAAAGCTTTTGCGGACCGTCAAGCCGGAGAGAGTGACACACAGCGGAACAAGCGTCTGCCACCTCCACCTTCACTGCCGCAACACCACCAGAATGGCGGCACGGCAACGACATGGCACTGGAGACGCGTTTCACGCACCGTGGTATACCAAGCTGCACAGTCTTATCTTTTATCATCTGTGACGGAACTAAGAAAATACGCAAATAAAAAGCAATATTTTTACTAGGGGGCCTTTTTGGAAGCATAAATACCTCGTCGGTATATCCCTCTATCCGATGCGGCGATCGGGCAAGGGCCTTTAATGCGCGCTTGTTTTTTCGGACACGCACGCCACGTCACTTGGGCGGTGGAAATGCCCGCCACGGGCACCGCATCGAGGTGGGGCAACACACCGTCCCTTGACCTTCCGGACACCCAACGGCCGAAAACGCGGCATCGAGGTCCTTAGATCACCCGATCCGGAACCTTTTCGACTCTCTATGGAAAAGCTTTCCCTAGGGACAAATAGAAGCACCGAAGATGCGTTGCCTGCGCTAGGTGTCGACCAATCAAATCGCTCAGTAAGCCTATTGGGTGGGCGCGAGTTCGGAGAAGCCACCACAAAGAAAGTCGCCCAACGCGTCGTCTTTCGCAAAACCCCACGGACTTGTTGAAAAGATGGACAACTGGGGGGCCACGCGAGACGGCAAGACAAAGCAAGCGGCGACGTCACGGTCCCTTCGTCCTGCCTTGTCCTGCCATCTCGCATAGCTCCCCTCGGAATCTATACTCAAGACCTAGGGGTCACATTATTTCGGAGTAATTGAAATGCTACAAAAAAGTAATAAAACATCTGCTTCAAAAATTTAACCCTCTCATGCATCACGTCCACACATGACGACAGATGTTTTTAGTTTTTTTTTTTTTTTTTCTCAACAGAATATGTTCTCATGCCTTGCCTTCCTGCATGGTGTCCTCAAATGAAAAAGCTTTCCTAGACGGCTGACAGATGGCAGCGCTTGCCGGATCTCGCACAGAGGGCATCATACCTCATCTTCATTCATGAAGAAGCCATATGCAACAGTTCGTAAAAGTAATTATTTTTTACTAGCAAAACTTTGTATGCAAATTGCAAGGAAAATTAATTTCAGACTGTTCTAGACACACTTTATGTATTAGCAATGAAAGTTTTGAGATAGTTTCTCCAGATTTTTCCTTTTGATGCCCGCTATATCTGTCCTCAAATAGGGACATCAAACAGGACCACTGCTTTCCTCTCATTGCGCTTCGCGGACTTTCCGGCATTTCCGCGCGAAAAATTTTGAGCTACGTATACGCTTGCCGCTTGCATATTTTTTCTTACTAACTCTTCAGTGTCTTTAGCTGAATGAAAAGGTCTCGGCAGAAGTCCTCTCCTCTGCAGCCGGTGAAAAAACGAGCCAAGCATGACGTGCCACTTGAGAAGAGGCTTGACGTTGGTGCACATTACCCCAGAAAAATGACTGAAGAATGCGCAGCGCTGTCGCAGTAAGAACTGTCGCAGCAAGACGCGGTACACCTGTGGGCGTTGCGGTGTTCCTCTCTGCCCCGAGTGCTTTGCAGAGTTTGAAGCCTCGTGAGATGTTCACTTTCGTCTTTTTTAGCTGAGAGCTTTTTCTTTAGCATTGTGGAACAGAAATGAAACAGTATTAACGTGTTCTAGCCCGAATATGCTCATTATTTTGATTAAAATGACCATTGCTCAAATACCAGAAATTGATTCACTTGACCACTGGAATGCACAATGTCCTCAAATGAGGACAGGTAATAAGTTCTGCTATAGTAAATAGGGTTGAATTTTTAAGACATTTCTTTTTTACATCATTGGCGGTTCACATGAATGCCACAGCACGGTATAAAATGTTTCTGACATAGTGGTTATAATTCATGCATGAGAGGGTTAATTTGTTTTTTTGTTTTTTAATATTGGAGTTATTTGAGGTGAAACAATTTCCGAGGGTGGACCAAAGTTTCCAGACCAAAAGGCAGTTTGTCTAAAGACGGTGTCAGAACGCTGACCCATGAGGAGAGGGCACCCACCATGTGCTGCAGGGCCTCCAGCACGATGCCCCGGTTGGTCTTGAGGGTGCGCAGCTTGTGCTCGTAAGCCTGGCGACGGTCCGGAACCACCGCCATCAGGTTGAAGCGGATGTCCCCGCCCCCCAGGCGTTCCGTTATCACCTGCGCCACACAGACCGGTCACTCCGCACGCTGCCCCAGGATGTTTCGAGTATGTTGTCTGCTTTGCCTTCAGCTCGTTACGCGAGCGTGTAATTCGCTTCGAGCACATTTTGACGCAGAACGTGTTCGAGGGCCGGGATTACGAGGAGAGTGTGATGGAATGCCATGGAATCCGTTACGAATTGTCGAATGCATACTTCAGAGGACAATCTGTACCAAAAAGCGGGAAAAAGACCCTTTCGAAATGCGGGTTGGCCACTTCGATGACCATCATTGCCCAAGTTGGTCCGTCGTCGGTGCGACGAGAGTCGTAAGCTTTCATGTGCTGCGCATCAGAGGGTGTCCTTTAAATTCTTAGAATGGTCACGTTCGGCACACCCCGGACGGCTCGTGACAATGAAACGTGGCGAATTTTATAAGATGCCTTATTCGGGCAAGTGCTACGTGCAAAGTGGTAGTTTCTTGTCACTGTCGATACTGAAATGAATGCGCAGAGCAAGTCGTCTGCTTCTTGGACGGGAGTTGCAGTGACCTCAGAACAATGCCGAGCTCTTATTGGCTGATCGAAAAAAATAGTGGGCAGATCTCAATGCTAGGCGCTTTGAGGTCTACCCACTATTTGTTTTTCAATCAGCCAGTTTGAGCTCGGCGTAGTTCTGACGTCACCGCGACCCCTGCGCAAGAAGCAGACAACTTGCTCTCCGCACAGAGAAAGAACTGCGCAGCAAAGAACACCGTCTCCTTCGTACATCTGCCGTCAACAAACAGATACTAGATTTTCACTGCTATTAGCGTACCAATATTTAGACTGATATTTAAGCCACTAGATGGCTCTGAATTTCTCAAACGGTCTATCAAGAAGATAGAATGAAATTCTAAATGCATCCCAACGGGAATCGAACTCGAGACCCCATAATTGTGAGCTCGACATTCTATCCCAGTGCCAGGGGGGAGATTGGCGAAGGGATAAAACCGATCTACACCGAGGGCGGGAAGAGCGTACGTCGTAACTTACGTAGCCTCCTTTAGCTGTCGCAATGGAGGGATTGCAATCAACTCAGACAGAAATCGAGGAAGAGATGAACGTTGGAGCACCGATACGCTCTCGTCTCATCAATTCCATCAGTTTTTATCCATATGGGAAAAAACAAGAAGTTCAAGACATGCCCGCCATCGCATAAAAAAAGCCAGTTTAAAATAAAAGAACAAGCTAGAACCAAAGTTGTTTTTTAAAAATGCAATGTTCACAAATCTTGAAGAACGCCACGGACAGACGTTCTGTGTGGTTACGGACTGGTAGGCAAGTTTGTAACGTATATTTTTAAAAAGTCACCCCTCTCCCATACTGGCGTGCAAAGGCAGTGGTGACATGGAATGTGATATGTTAGTGCAGAGAAACTGTGTAGGTACATATGTGGAGAGTAGATGGCACGAAGCGGCCGTATGTCGCACAAGGTAAGTGCACGAGAACTTCATGGACGCTTTACTTGCGGGTGCCATCCTCTGCGGTTGCAGTCTAAGTGCGACTGTCTCGGAGCCTGTTTGAGCACGAGACTCGGTAGACGGAGCATGCGGAAAATGGGACGATTAGATCATGGCAGTGCCGAGCAGAGCCCTGGCACCAGCTTGCGGCAAAAGAGAACTAAACACACGAAACTGCTTTTACCCGTCATAGCGAAGAAGTCCGCTCTTTTTTTTTTTCCACTTTTACGTCGCTCTCTCCGCCGCTCTTTCTCTGGGGAAGTCCAGAGCAAGCTTGTTTCACGAAGAAAGAGTGCCAGCCATATAACGCATTGTGCGGTAATAAATATGCCACTAAAGGATGAGGACACGTAGAAGAAGGGTCAGAACACCCACTTGTCCCATCTTGTTCTCTAAGTAGTCCTTGTCCTTTCACGCCGTGTTTATCTTAACATTTCTTCGGACTTTCAGAACAAAAAGGTACAATGGCCGACTTTTGGGTGCTATGTCTCTCAAATATGGTCCCCAAAAGACAGGACGGGGGCAACCGCTCGCTGCCCTTTCCCACTGTGTATCGCGACCAGTTAAAGGTCTCGATCACCAAACTGCCAATCGACGTAATCGATGCGCAGTCTGTGACATAGCATGAACTGCCGATTGCCAGTTTTTTGTGCTTGCTTCGACAGTTGGCAAGTAGCAAATAATACTACTACTAGCGTTGGAGAATGTGTTTTTGTGGAACGGCAAACTGGGCTGCTGCTCCACGTGTTGCGCTTGATACTAGCAACTTACGCAAATATGATGTGAAGAAGTGCTCGCGTCACATTGGCATGGCGTGGTGCTTTGCCGTGGAATGACGACGGACTGCCAGGCATGTAACAAACTACTGAATGCCTCTCGCCTATACACCTTTCCGAGGAACACTTGGCCCTAGGGACAACAAACCAATTTCGAGCCCAGTTTCTAGGCTTGAGGCTAGACTCCCACCGGTGTCCCTGCTAACCCTAACCGAGCGGACTGTAATTTCGATAGGCGCAGCATGCGTAGGCACAGTTTCAAACACTGCTGGTGGCTAAATTCTCATCTTTTCCCGCTGTATTTTATGCTTCATGGTGCATGTATTTTCCCGAAAACATTGAAAAAGCATTGTACCACATTTCAAAAAAACAACAAAAAAAACTGTAAACTATTTTTGTTGGGTATGCGCATGACAGAACGTATGCGACTGGAATGTTAGTTGTCGCGTTTTTTTTATACGTTTCGACGGCACCGCTTGATTAGCCGCGTGTCAAACGACAAAGCGCTTAGCTGTCGAAAATAATTTACAACAGAAGATAGTCAAAAGGCATGCATTTTTTATGCTCACAAATAATGTGTTTACCAACGGTAGCGAGTGTTAACATTCAAACAATATATTGTACGCACCACATGATGCAGCGTTATCTGAAAAGAAGTTATTTAAGAAAGATCTCAAATAACACAGTCACAGTCGACGATAGTCACATGTTGACAATCAGACAGATTCCAAGATGCTTTCGTTTTGGGGAGAGCTTCCTTTCTTCACACCAGCACCAAGACAAAGGAATGGGCACGAATGACTCCAACCTGAACAACTTTTTTTGGCTATAACTGAGAAAGACTCTACATGAATTATCTCTGGGAGGGAGGAAAACAATTGTCATTGTTTGCAAAATTGCAATGAAGGCCGTTCGACGTCCTTCCCTTCCTTCGTTTTCCGTGAATGTCGAGCAGAGACGCTTACCAGCCCTATTTCTCATAGTGGAAGATAACAGAGAAAGGGTTCGCAGCATGCATCGGAAACTTTCAAGAGGGGCCAGAAAACGTTGAATGCAAAACTGCGAAACATAGGTAGAGAATCACACTGAGTGGGTTTCCACAGTCCAAGAGAGTGGCAGAAAATGTCTAGCTGATAGGGGGCGCGAGAGCTGCACCAGCCGCATCAGCATCAGCAATCTGGCGGCGGCCTAGGGGCGTTTTTTGGAAAGGTGTATAGCTGGGGGCTGCTTGGTAGGAACTTTGACGCTTCTTATGGTCGGGGACAGGTTATGAATTCGGTAGCTCTTTCCCCACTTCAAGTTTTTCCGCTCTCAAGTAAGTAGCATACCGTAAGATTCCGAGGGATGCCCCACCCTTAAAAGATAGCCGTTTACGCAAAATTTTCCGTTCATGCAGAAGTGCCAAGATAGCCCAGTCCTAGGAATCACACTGTCCAGGTGACCACGGCAGTAGCAAGGCAGCTTTTTTCATCACGCCATCTCGCTATATTTGCCTCGGTGTTCAAAGTTCTCGTTGGGACCGCCGGGAATTGCTTGGTGACGACATTCGGTCGACGAAGATTATTTCGCATCTAAGCCTTTCGCAGACAGCACTCACATCCAAAGAAACGCAGCCGTGCCGTAGCCGCTGTCGGAACTAACGGCAATCATGGCAGCTATAGTGAAACTAAGGCATCCAACGTAGCAGGGGTGGCCAGACGGACATTTACAAAGAGCCATAAAAGGACCCATTTCAAGGGGAGCTTCGGCAAAATATTGATGGTCGTAGATTTTTATAGAAGTTTCACCACACACTAAATATCCGCACCCGAGTATGTCTACCAATTATCTCGGCAAAATAAGCATTTTCTTTCTAGTGAACTGATTTTGAAGTTTACATGCACACTTCCAAATCGCTGGCTGCCGCTTTATTGGTAACAAGCAGGAGCGCTTGCGACATCAAATGTTGTATCCCAGCCACCCTCCACACCGTTATGCATCGTAGGGATAGTGAGCATCTGTGGTTTTGCAGATTGTGCCAGGTTTAGGCTATCTGAGGCATGCGATGGAGGGTGGAGAGGATTGGAGATGTGCTGCGGGGTGCGGTAACGCCACGAAAAAAATTAAGCGAAGTGACAACTCGTCGGTTACCGACCGACAAGTCTGTGTCCCCGTGCTCACCATGCGGAACTTGTCGGTCCAGTCCTGGCCAGGCTGCCAGGGCCCGTGGTCGATGGGGAAGGGCTTGAGCCCGTCCAGCTCGTAGAGGCGGCCGTCGATGGGCACGTAGCTCACGAAGTGAAATGCTTCCAGGGTGCGCCCCGTGGCCACGCCATGGCCCTTCTCCTGCGGAGGCTCGGGCTTGGCGTGCGTGTTGTGTGCGCGTGCCAGCTCGGGGGTGTTGCCAATGGCGTGGCCCTTGTTCTCCGGGTCCATGTGCCGCGTGTGCTCCTTCAGCCGCGTCAGCGTCGAGCCCAGGTAGATCTTGGAGCAGTTCAGCAGGATGCTCAGCAGCGAGTGAGTTGCGCACGAGTTGGGCACGATCTGGAACGAGATTAGGGGGTCACGTCTCTCTTTGGGTTGGACTGGATGTGACGGCTTAACCCTTTACATCGGGTGATAACTGTAGAAAAAAAACATGATCTAACCCCCCCAAAAAAAACATTACGAAGAACCCAAACACGAATGTTGTGATACCCTTCCCTCTTCAGAGCTTTTCCCCATCAGTCCTCTAACTTACGTTTCGTGACTTCTGCTGCTTTGAGGACACCTGTAGTGCGACCAGAATCACACTGTCCAACAATCGTCGGCACGGTTCGCGCATCGCCACTGCACGTCGTTGGTTCCTCTCACGCCGGTTTCAAATCTCCCAGCCCCAGTGCAAAAGCATAGTCAGTCACATTGGGTGGCACTAGTGGCCTCAGCTCGCAGCATTCCATCATGACATGAAGTGCTGTCTCCTCCAACCGGCAGCATAGCTGACAGATAATGTCCATCCCTGCCGTGTACTTGTCCCTGAGGAGACGTGTCCATGGTAATCCACTCCGAGCTTTGCACACCCAAATGCTACCCTGCGAGTTGTCAAAAAAATCTACATGTTCGACTTTTTTTCTTTTCTTGCATAATAGACAGCAACAGACGGTCGCATGCAGGCCACGGCAACCCACCTATCTGTTTGTCTCGGACTCCGCTATGCGTTCCCGGACTTGTTTGGCAATCCCCGATGTTGCAACCTTGTACAGCAGCACCCGTGGTACCTCATACCACTCCATGAGCTGTCGCAACCTTTCTACCCACCGGGTGTTGATGCTTCATAGGTGGATGTACTCAAACATTTGGCATGCCCACCTTTCTTCTGACAATGCGCATAAGTGCCGCTCGAAAATCAGTTTGCTGGTGGCCTCCAGGGCTTCCAAGCATGACCAGCCCATGTTGCCCTGTTCACTCTCACCTGTTGTGTTTCAGTCAGTTTGAAGTGCCAGGCGACCTACTTCTCATTGCCTCCAGGTGTTCTATTGTGTGCACTGACAGGCAGAGCACGACATTGGCAAAGGTCACTTTCAGAACCGCCACCATTTTTCCAGAGCGCATGCACAGTTTCATATCGACTGAAGCTCCACATGCCCCTGCAACCCTGGTAGCCCTTTCGTGTGTTCGCCATGGCTTCTAACGTGGTCTCATGTTGCTTGAGGTACTGTCGTCCCGGCTGCAATGCCACCTCCAGATATTTGTATTCGCTTTTCCAATCGATCTGGCCCTGGATAGTCACCTTCTGTGTCAGTTTGGTTTGAGTATTCGTTAATCCCTGCACATCCAGCAGCTCCATATCCATCCTGAGGACTCCAGACTTACTGGGGTTGAAGACCAGCCCCAACCTACCAACCCTAACCTGGTTCTCTCTCCACAGGTGTCCAGTAGTCCCTGAAGGTCCTCAAGAGACCCTGCTATAAACGCTATGTCATCTGCGTAGATTAAGGCAAGAATCCTCCATACCACCTGCCTCCCTTCGTCACTGTAGTTCATGCAAAAACCTCCTACACTGTCTTCCAGCACTCTTTCAATCCAGGCAATATACAACACAAACAATAGTGGAGAGAATAGACACCCCAGCCTATTCCCCGCGTTGTCCTAATCAGGTTGGCATATCTATAACCCCACTGTACCATAACACCATTGTCTTTGTATATCTCTTGCAGCATGTCCCTCCACTCCCCCGACATTCCAAGCTGTTGAAGACTGATCCATAGAAGTTTATAGTCAACCTAATTGTAAGCCTTAAAAATGTCTAAGAAGCCCAGGTACAAAGGTTTCCGCTCTTGGTTGGCGATTTCCATGGCCTGCGTTTTCACGAACAGGTTGTCCTCTAGCCGCCTTTCTTTCCTGAATCCATTTTGGAGCTCCCCTAGAATTCCTTCATGCTCAGTCAAATGCAGTAGTTAGCACACGCATGAAAATCTGGTAGAGCACTGAGGCCACAGTTACTGGACGATGGTACTTCAGGATCAGCTTGCCTCCTTTTCCCTGTTATAACATCCTGACCTGGGGTCTCTCCAGTCCTCTGGTATCTCACCTGGGGTCATCACGCAGGGTAGCACCTCTCAAAGTCGTTCCCTGGATTTCCTTCCCATTTTCTTCAACAGCCTTGCTGGGATGTCATCTAACCCCGTTGCAGTGTGAATGTCTGTGTGTTGCAAGGCTCTGCTCCACTCACCCTGCGATATTGTGGGACGATGTGCGACGTTTCCCATACTTCCCTTTTGTAGGTCACTTTGACTCTCGGCTTTAAGTTCTCTGAAGATGTCCATCACTGCTAGAGTAACATAGTTGACACATTCCTGTCCAGTGAGGACTGCTTCATTTATGGTATCCTTATTGCTGTTGGGGTGAGCTCCGCCCACCTCACCTCCCCTCTGGCATGTTGCCAGAAAGTTCTTGGGGCGCTTCTGCCGCTGTGTCGAAGGGCCTCCAGTAGTTGTCTGTCTACAGTTTTCACCTTTCTCCGCACGATCGCCAAGAGCTATATCCTTTTCTCTTTGTATTCCTTTCATGCCTTAAGAATTGATTCCTTTTGCGCTCTCATCTTAAGTGCTTCTCTGTGCTTCTTGCATGCCCGTCTCCTCCGGTTTGTTGCCTCTGCCACTTTGCCATCCCACCACCTTTTTCTCCGTCGACCAAGGTTCTGGCGCTTACTCCTTTTTTTTTTTCTTCATTTTTATAATCTCCCTAAGCATCCAATTCACATCTGTATTCTGCTGGATAGGTGCATTTTCAGCTCCCTTTTCCAGCTCCTTTGTCACTATTTCCACTTCCTTATTGGTCAGACCTTTAGGTGGAGATTGCCTTACTGTACATGACCCAAAATTTAATGTCAATTGACGGTGATCACTTTCAAGTCTTGCTGTGCCAGTCTCGTCTATTGGCATGCCCATTAGGGTCTCATATAACAGCGGTTGTTTGCACATTCTTTTATCTCCTCTCATTTGTATGAATGCTCCTATAACCGTATGTTCAGCTAATTCATCCCCATGCATAACCAACTAGCTCAGCTTATCCCTGTCTTCCCTTGACATTTGACTGTTCCGTTCACCATAACTAACCTCATTTTCTCTATCAAACTTAGCATATCCCGACCGGTCATGTATGTCTCGTCATCCAGTTTCTCGATATGCACATTAAAGTCACCGAGTAGGATGGTGGGAAGATTCAGTGCCTCCATGTTGTTTTCTAGGCAGCCCAGTGTTTCTGTGTTTGTAGCATCAGGCCTGTTTCCTGTCCAAAGGTGCACTATTCTGAGTGTGACTTTCCTCTTCTCTATTGCCCGTCATCCACAGGTGATCTAGACAGTCTTCCCACTGTCTCTTTAACTTGTCTTCACAAAGCCCATACCTCTTCGCTTGCCACCTCTTCTGTTCTGGTCTCCCCATGTGAATTTATCATTTGCCGTTGGTAGATTGCCTCCGCATTTTACCACTCCCCATTCTAATCAGATGCTCCTCTTCCATTGCAGCATACAGCTCCTCCCATTTGGCTGCTTGTCTTCCTCCTTGCATGTTGAGGAACGCCAAAGTTTGCCGCCCATGCTTCCGTCCCCTGCGTGTTCTCTTAGTTGACTGCTAATGATAACCATATGGTAGCCGTAAGGTCTCCAACTCTGGTTGATGTTTGTACTCACACTGCATCGGTGTTCGTAAGTCTGAATTGCCCGTGATGCCGTCAACTCTTTCGGTTGGACCCCTGCCTGTTCCGCCTCGCAAGCCCTTGCCCCATCATCTGGAGCAAGTTTATGTTGTGGCATCCACACAGGGACGCCAGTACAGGGTGCAGCAGTCTCGCATCTCTGAATATCGACGTCTGGGGTGGTAATTGTGTCGGACAAACCAGAACCGGGATACGAGAGTGCCTACTCACCTCACGTATCCTCCGAACAGAAAGTCTGTTTGTAGTTGTTTGTAGTGTTGATTCTCCAGAGACCACAAGTCTTCGGTTTAGTGCTCTTGGAATCTCTGCGGCCCTCTTGCCGACTCGTAAACCGAGCCCAGTCGTGGAAGATTGCTGGGGTAGTCCCAAGATAGCTGCATGTCTTTCGTGGGTGGTGCCTGTTGGTATCTTGGTTCCTGGTACAGTAGCCATGGTTCCAGGAGCAAGTAGCAAAGGTGATGCTGTCCAGTGGACATTGTTCCTGCTTTTTATACTTTCAGTTTGTTTGTGTGATCTTGCATTTGGTCTGTGTGGTCATGTCTGCTATATCTAGTCTAGGATGCCTCCTTCCCCTCCTAAAAAGAACAGCAGGCTGCTGCTCCTAATTTGTCCATCACCACTCGCACGCCTTGCTTGTAGTAGTGTAGGCCATCCTTCCCCATTGCGTCTTCTTTTAAGTCTCAACTGAGATCTAGGAACCTTGCCCTTATGTCTTTAGAAAGCTTTTTTTCAACTTGGCATTTAACAGCCTTGTTAAAGATAGAATGCTTTTACCTTTGCCTTTGATCTCTGGGACTGAGCACATTATCAGTGCTTTCCAGCGGTCTGAACCTGTTCGTCTCAGACACTCTGCAATCACATCGGGCTGATCACCTTATAGAATGTCAATCACACTGGCATGCAATATATACATGCGGGATACTTCTCTCGCTTTTTCCTGGTACACGTCAATCAGATGGTGAACGTCTTCTGTCGTTCCCCTCCATTAAGTATGCCTTCCATACTGTGGTAGTCCCCAACCTGATCGAGGATTGTTAGTGTGCAATGTTGCTATCACCAACCAAGATTAGTTCTTGTTGCGTCGCAATCGGATCTCTTGAGCCTCGTTCCCCTACTGAATGTGATGGCCACTGGTGCCGTCATGTTGGTGATGGTGCCTCCCAAACAATAATAATAATAATAATAATAACAATCCCAGAAGCCTCTGCCCCGCAAGGTTCTTGGACCCTCCTGTCATCCCACATCAGCTTGCGTTCGCGCCGGGTGAGGGCTAGGTCTCCACTGACGCTTATGGGAATCCCTGGGCGCCTTCAATTGTGTCGTCACTGAGGATTTCCTCTTCTACCTTTTCTGCATCGGGTTCGCTATTCTCTGCATGTTTCACCAGTTGTGCAGGGACATCTCCCATTGTTAAGGAGGCGGCCACTCTCCTGGTTGGGCGACTATACTTACGATGGACGATTGCCAGACTGGGTCGTGTTAACCAATAAGCTATTATGCACTTTCCCATGGCAGTTACCGGTCCCAGAGTGCCACGAAAGTGTGGCACCGTTGTTCGGAGACCCACGAACACAATCGAGACTCGCCTGGTGCGCGAAGAAGATGGAGTTGACGATCTCCTCCTTCTCGACAAATTTCTCCTCCTGCACGACCACCTTCCGCCGCGAACGCCTCTCCTCGATCCACTTGAAGAGGAAGATGAAGCCGTACACGGGCCTGCGGGGAGGGGAAACACGTCGTTGTTCGCCTGACCCGACGACGAAGGACGGCAGCCCCAGTTGCGCTACTCACCCTTCGATGGACTTCTGCAGGTCGTAGATCTCGTCCACCTGGACCCCCTTGACGCCGAAGTCCTCGAGTAGCAGAGTGAACAGGCCTGCGCGGAGAGCCCCGTCAGCGGGGCCGGCTGGAACCGACGGGGTAGGGGGTACCTACCTGGATCGCTCTCCAGCTGCAGCCAGCCATCAGCCAGGCGGTTCAAGTCCACGGGCATCGTTCAGCAGTCCGGCACTCGCCGATGTCTTATGTGCTGCATGCTGACACGCTGGCCCCAGCGGCCCAGCAGCTTCTTCGCTCGCGTTGTCGTGGCTGTCGCAGCTGCTTCGCCTGCAAGTGCGTTTCGCCGTCAGCCTCGGCACATGGTTGCCTACTGGCGCTGCGCACGGCCGCCAAAATAGGTTCGTATGGCACGACGTGAAACGTTAACGACGTCTGCTTGTGGTCTGCTTGTGTGCTCCACCAGTTCCGCTCCAACCAGCTCCAACGGCTCCAACGCCCTAACGCTCCCAAGAGTTGTCTCCTTCAAAGTGTGTGCTCCACATCTGGCATATTACAGGTGACTCGAATGGACAAACGCCGAGACTGAGGACAATGCAAACACAACAAGGTATCAATCTCAAAGCACGATGCACCAGTCGATCACGTCACTGTCTCGTTTTGCTTGACGAGACTACCAGACACCTGACAACACCAGATTAACCAACCACGTGGTCTCATTCAGCTGCGTTTGGACCTTGTTGGGTGTGCATTGTCATGCGTGCGCGCGTAACCAAGCTATGCCCTTTTCCTTACGTTTCAAAACGCTCCTCATTGGACAAAAACGATACTATTTTGATGACGCGTCAAACACCGTAAAAGAGTGTCCTTCTTAACTAACCCGATCTTTTCGCCGCGGTCATGAACCCACTCCCCCAAAGCCACTGTCCTTTATTTACACAAATATAAGAAGCGTGATATCTAAACAAGACGAGATATGTAGCCTAATTGCATCTACCGATTGTGACATTATTGCGCTTACTGAAACATGGCTGTCATCATCGGTAACTGATACAGAAATTTTTACGGGCACTTCTGGGTTCAATATATTCCGCAAAGATAGGGAAAGTGGCCGGGGAGGGGGGGTCTTGATTGCGATAAAAGATAGTTTTGTGTGCAACCTAGTAAGCTTGTCTTCACCGTTGGAAATGCTATGGCTTTCTTGCACGGTTCAACACGCTTCGCTCCTTATCGGTGTATGTTACCGACCCCCTCACAGCGATCCATCTTTTCTAATTAACCTCAATGACGCTTTCAATGAATTGTACCTTAAATATCCCAAATCCAGTATTCTGCTTTTCGGTGACTTTAATTACCCCTCTATTGATTGGCCCGCCTTATCCGTTTCGGTCCCTCTTGATACGAGTGAAGCGACTGGTTTCGTTAACCTTTGCTTCAATTTCGATCTCTCGCAGCTTGTAACGAAACCCACACGATCAACCACCCACTCTTCGAACATCCTTGACCTCATCCTTGTTTCTGATCCTGACTCTCTAAAGTCGATAAACTACCTACACGAAATAAGTGACCATAAAGTGATTTACTGCACATTTTCTTTAAATATTCAGTCAAAATCGAAGCGGAAGAAAACCGTAAAACTATACGAGAAAGGGAATTATCAAGGAATGAATACTGAGCTAGGGAAATTCTTAGATGTCCTTTTAATAGACTTTGACAATCGGTCCGTCTGTGAAAATTGGACTATGTACAAATCTAAAATGCAACAACTAGCTGAAAGCTTTATCTCAACTGTGACATTTTTCGAAAGCGCTTCTGCTCCATGGTTTAATGTTACCCTGAAACGTTTAAGCACGAAAAAAAAAGAGACTCTTTCGTAAAGCCAAAACCACGGAGCGCAGCTCGGACTGGGATAAGTTCTATAGTTCCGACAGACAATTCAGAAGCGCAATCAGAACACAAAAACGAGCGTTTTTTAATGTTGATCTCCCATGCATGCTGCAGAGCAACCCAAAAAAGTTTTGGAATGTCGTTAATCCTAAACCTGAAATAGTAATCAATCTTAAAAACGACGATGACTCTTTGGTTCCTGATGACGAATGTGCAGAAAAATTCAATGATGTTTTTTGTTCAGTGTTCACACAAGAGTGCAATGATATGTTTTCTATGGTTCCTCCTGCCTTTCCTACATCCATGGATAGGATCACGTTTGAACCGGCTGGCATTGTGAAAATCATCGACACCCTTAAGATTTCTTCATCACCCGGTATTGACGAAATAAATGTAAAAGTGTTGAAAAATACTAAAGATATATCTAGCGTAATATTGGCAAAGCTTTTTGCACAGTCACTTTCTACTGGTTCCTTGCCATACGACTGGAAAGTTGGGAAGATCGTCCCAATCTACAAAAACGGAAACAAGTGCTCCCCTTCTAACTACCGTCCCATCTCCCTAACAAGCGTGTCGTGTAAAATAATGGAACATATCATCTACTCCAAAATCATTCATCACTTGTTAGAAAACAACTATATCCATTCCGCCCAACACGGCTTCCGAAAAAACTTCTCCTGTGAAACTCAACTCGCGTCTTTCGTCCATGACCTGCATGTTAACCTCGACTCTAACATTCAAACTGACGCCATCTTTCTAGACTTTGCTAAAGCTTTTGATAAGGTCCCTCACAGACGTCTCATATACAAGCTTAATCAACTTAACTTAGACCCCGCGATTTTGAACTGGATCATTAGCTTTCTTACGCATAGACATCAATTCGTTACCGTTAACCAGTCATCATCCTCTATTGCCGAAGTCACCTCAGGCGTTCCTCAGGGATCGGTCCTTGGACCACTCCTATTTCTAATATACATTAACGACCTACCCGTATCAATCACGTCGCATATTCGCCTCTTCGCTGACGATTGCGTCATCTACCACCAAGTAACTAACCCTTCGGACCACCAACTCATTCAAGATGACCTCATACGAATTCAAGCGTGGTGCGAAGAATGGCAGATGTCTCTTAACGTCCAGAAATGCCAGCTCGTGTCATTTACACGTCGTGTAAGCCCCTCCGTGTTTTCCTACTCACTTAATAACGTACCTCTGCAGAAAAGCCTTTCCTATAAATATCTCGGAGTCCACCTCTCATCTGATCTTTCCTGGGCTACTCATATCAGTCACGTTATCTCCACTGCTAATCGCTCACTAGGCTTCTTAAAACGTAACCTTAAGCTAGCCCCTCCTCACCTAAAGCTGCTTGCCTACTCATCCCTTGTCCGTCCTAAATTGGAGTACGCATCTGCCATCTGGGACCCGCATCAGGCCTATCTCATCAATAACCTCGAATCACTCCAGAATCGTGCAGTACGTTTTATCTACTCAGATTATTCTTCCTTTTCTAGCGTAACTAATCTTAAAATCCGTGCAAACCTCCCTGTCCTTTCTGTCCGTCGTAAACTTGATAGGCTATCTCTTTTTCACAAATTTTACTACAGTCAGTGCCTCCGGTCATCATACATCATATCTTCAGAATACCGGCTTCGTCGTACGGGACATAACCTCGGCGTAAGACGCCCCAAAGCAAGAACCGTCACCTTCCAGAATTCATTTTTTTCACGCACTGCCATTGATTGGAACGATCTTCCCGAGAACGTCATCATCACTCATGACCCGATAGAATTTAAGAAACGCTTGCTAGACTCCCCACTTTAGGTTTGTACGAACCATCTATATGTGTACAGTTTGCCTTTCACATTTGTGTGTTTTTGCTCTTTGTACGCGAGTTGTTTTTGGCGTGTTTTCTACCCTTTTGTTTTACGCTCTGTACCCACCCCTTATGTAATACCCCCAAGGGGGTCCTTAAGGTATCTAAATAAATAAATAAATAAATAAATAAATAAATTACATGCTGCGTCGAACGCCTTTTCGAGAATTGTTAAGTAGCAGGACAATGGGAAAGATCACGGAAGCATGGCCTGCAAACGCCATCTGCTCGGTGCCCCGACAGGAGTGACCAGCGTAAAAATGTGGGAACGCCCGTAGGCAGTGCGAGCAACAAAGTGAGCACCGTCGAGGTTATTGCCAACGAATTTGTGCCCCGTCATGTTTTGAGGCTGTACACGCCGCGTCCCCCTGCTTTTCGGCGCCACGATCGTGTCTGTAAAGTACAGTCCAGACAAAATGGTCCCAGCTGTTGGGTAATGTACAGCGTCCGCCCCAAAAAATTTACAAGTTTTTACAGCAGAGCTAATCAGGTATAGTTTCCCCAGGATCGTGTCCGCCAGCAAACAAATGGTGACACAAAATTCTGGACAGCTTTTCGCAAAAGTAATTTGTGTTTTATTTAACGCTTATTCTCTGCCCAAGTACTCAGGGTCCAAAAGTCGTCTGACACAAAGTTGGAGCCGAAAGTTAGCAGAGCTCGTCGATTGAACATTGGCACCAAAGCATGTACAGTCTCCGGCGATATGAAAGACCCACTGGGAGCGCGTGGCCGAGGCGGTGGCTGGCGGGGGCGCTGCGAGCGCTCCGGGCAGTTCCGTTCTGCTTCAAGGGGAGGACGCTCACTCGGGGCTCAGCTAAAGCGCGCGCTTATCAGTTTGTGCTGAGCCCCGAGCCGTGGCCCCGAGTGAGCGTCCCCCCCTCGAAGCAGAATGGAATTGCCCGGAGCGCTCGTAGCGCCCCCGCCAGCCACTGCCTCGGCCACGCGCTCCCAGTGGGTCTTTCATATCGCCGGAGACTGTACAATCGGTGTGCTCCATGAACTTCGGCCCCAACTTTCTGCTTGACGAGTTTAGAGTTCCTGGTGGTCTGAACCAGCTGCCAAAGTTGCACCCTTAACCGCTATCTTATATTCAAAACTTGTAAGGGATCTTCTCAAATTTCCTATGGGAAAATGGAGCCCATTTTTGCTCCATTGGCCGCCATTTTCCCAGTGAAAATGTCAGAAAATCGCTTATAACTTTTGAATAAGGTAACGGTTTGTGATGGAACTTTGGCATCTGGTTTGGTCCTCTTGCGCTACATTTGGGTGTAGAATGAGCGTTCGGTGATGCATAGTTTATTTTTTGCGGTAAAAAATGTGCGTAAATTTTTTGCAAGTTCCATGTACAGGGTGTCGCAAAATAAAAATTACACATTCTTTTTTACCACAAAAATAAACTATAGTCGGTTACAAGTCAAGAAGGTAGGAGAAGCTCCTCCCACAAGCGTGAGGTCCCTGTTTCAAATCTCTCCGCGGTCGAAAGAAGAGTTCACTGGAAACGCTCCTTGTTCCGCTTCCATAAATTCTAACTTGTTTCTGATCCCACTTTTTAAGAAAGCGACCTTTGTATTCATTGCGGGGGGAACCGAGCCCCTCAAAGCAGCCTTTGTATCCATCGGAGGGGGGAGCTAATCCCCGAAAG